ACACATACACGCGTGCTCTCCCCGCTTTTGGCACACGACGGCAAAAAGGTTAGCCATCACTGGCTTAGGGCCATGTTTATTATTTTGCTATTCAATAGGCAAGAGGGCAGAATTGTCCACATCGGGCTAATTTCATTCCTGCCAAAGAAAGAAAATGACTTTCCTTTAGGACCCAAGCAGGGTGGATAAAAATCGATTAAAAAAAAAAAAATTAAAAAAATCAGATTTATTTAAATCAGTTTTTTTTATTTTTATCAAATTTATTTTTGGAGTAAAAATCTATCAAAAGATAGTTTCCTATTTAAGATACGTTAATAATTTAATTTATTCCGCGTGAAATGGAGGTTACTTATGTAGCATGAGGCTGTATATTTGGCAATATTTACATTTTTGGTAAACTCATTCAATGAATCCAAGCTCTGCCAGCTGAGATAACATGCACTGCATTGATGCATTCACATAATTTCACAGTAACCATGAGATAAATCATAAAAGAAAGTTCAGAAACATTCCTTTATCCCATTCTTTTGGAAATCTATGTACACTACATAGGGCAAGCAGTGAAAGTGAAAGTTAAACCTTCTAAGCCAGGGGTCCCCAACCTTTTGGACCTCAGGGACCACCAAGTGCACAATTTTAAATCCTGCGGACCACTAATACGAATCCAGCACGCCACTTGTTGAAGCGCCTGGACTCCCAGTGACGGGATGGGGTCCTTCAGGCACTCTCCTCTCTCTCCACTCTCTCTCTCTCTCATTCTCTCTCTCTCCCCCCCAATTCTCTCTCTCTCATTCTGATTCTAATTTTTTCATTCTCTCTCGTTCTCTCCGATTCTTTCTCTCATTCTCTCTCATTGATTCCCTCATTCTCTCTGATTGTCTCTTTCTCTCTTTCTTTCTGTCTCATTCTTTCTCTCTTTCTCTGTCCCATCTCTCTTCCTCTTTTCTCTCATCTCTCACCCCCTTTCTTTCTCTCTCCCACTCTTTATTTTCTCTCTCTCTCATTCTTTCTCTCTTTCTCTCTCCCACTCTTTATTCTCTCTCTCTCTCTTCCACTCTTTCTTTCTTTCTTTCTCTCTCATCTCATGGGCCACCCAGTGTCTTGGGGCTGAGAGGAAGTCAAGCATCTCCCTGAGAGACCGAGGTGCGCGGAGCACCAACAAAGGCCGGAAGAAGTGCAGGAGCGAAGCACTACTTGAACTTGTGTGGCATCAGCATTCCACCTCAGTACATTTGCGCCAACCGGTGTCGGCAACCCTTGTCTCCTGCCGCTTGGGACTCGGAGCAGTAAATGGCGACTGGTCCGGGGAGCAGCCGGATTTTGCTCTCCATTGCAGATGCCAGATCAGTCCCCTGCAAGCTCTTGCCTCTTGAGAAGCCCGGCCCAAGTTTCCCACGCCGCTTCAGCAAGTGCTCCTCGAGAGACAAGAGCTTGCAGGGGGCCAATCTGGCGTCCGCGATGGAGAGCAAAATCCGGCTGCTCCCCAGACCAGTCACCGTTTACCACTCTGAGTCCCAAGCAACAGAAGACGAGGGGCTGCTTTGCGCCACCGGCTGGCATAAATATACCGAGGTGCAATGCTGATGCCGCGAAAGTGCAAGTAGTGCTTTGCTCCCGCAGCTTCCAGCCATCTCAATCGCTGCTTTGGCCCACTTGCGCCGCCCCCTCCCCCACCACAGCAACAGCACCATTATTTCATTCCGGACGGAGAGGGCTGCGCTCCTTTTCGCGTATTGCACCACCTGAAAAGTTGCACATTGCACCTACCACCCCAGGGCAGAGATTTCCAGCCCCGCCACGGCTGGTCCCATTTTTTATTTATTTATTTATTAATATGCCGCCCTTCTCAGGAGACTCAGGGCGACTTACAAGGCGTTAAGCAATAGCCTTCATACTTTTGTATATTTTATACAAAGTCAGCTTATTGCCCCCCCCCAATCCGGGTCCTATTCCAAAGCTGTAGTAGTCACACTCACAGGACTGGCCCATTAGTCATCCCGGAGCAGCTCCTTCACCAGGGTGCACCGGCAAAAATATGAAGATTTCTTCACGGACCACCAAAATTTTCTCATGGATCACAACTTGGTGACCGCCGTTCTAAGCAGCTTATAAACATAATATTAAAGCGCACCTGTCATTTCAGAGCCATCCTGGTAGCACCTGTTAGTGGGCATCCTCTCACCTGCTGCCTGCCACGCCCCTCACTTTGTTGTATCCCTGCCACATCACCAGCCATCCCATTAAAGTGAATGGTACGGTCGGTGAGTCAACAGCGGGTCAGAGGAGGAGCCACTGCCGGACAGAGACGACAGTTGCTCTTTAAAAATTATGATTTAAATGGAGTTAAATCGATAAGAGAGGCAACTTACATTGGCCACAAAAACGGTACTGCCCAGCCGTCCGGCCTGCAGGGCATGGATGATCTCGTTAGGGATATTGGGGTTATTGAGAATGCTGGGCGGGATGTTAATCATGCCAGGCCCGCCAGCGCCAGGGCTGATGCCCATCCCGCTCCCAGAGGCTGCCATGGCCTTCTGCACAGCTCTTCGGACATGCTCGCCATCAGGATCCTAAAACAGGGAGGAAGACACTTTAAGCCTCCTGCAGGACAGAGGAGAGCTCTCAGGAGTGGGGGGGGGGCACCCCAATTCTTTAGCCTGCAAGGTTTGCTTCGGAGGTCACGCAAACTCCCCCCCCCCCATCAACACACGCCAGTAGCAGCTGAGAAAGGTTTACTGACATTTTGTAATCTTAAATCATTTTGTCAAGTAATGTTTCAGAGCTGGCTATCTTGACCAAGCTTTCTGCCCTCTCTGAAGGCGACTAGGAGTCCAACTGGGGATGCTTCTTGGGCAGCCTGGTCTCCTGTGCTGGACATCCTTGCGTATGTCCACCACGAGGACCAGAATTTCAGTCGCTAAGCAAGTAATGACGTGATCGGACCCTGGCCTTACAAATATTTTTCACCAGGGTTGTTTAAGCAAATCATGTGGTTATTAGGCGACTCACACGGTCGTAAAATGAAGCCAGCTTTCCAGCGGACGCCTGTAAGAAGCTGGCTGGGAAGGTCCCAAATTGTGACCTGCCAGACCCTAAAGCCATTCTAAGTGCCAACCGAGGACCTAAACTGAAATCGCTTTACTGCGAGGACAGACCGACGGTCGTAACTGCAAAGACAGATCATAAGTCACTTTTTCTGAGGCCACCGTAACTTCAAACTTTTGCTTGGTAAGGCCGTATGTCAAGGACTACAGTGGCTTTCCATTAAATCGTTCCCAATGGGGTGTGGCTTCCGACTACAAGGACAGGACACTGAGTAAGGAGAGTCTCCTTTCACCCCCCCCCCGCTTTTCACCCCAAAAGTCGAGATGCTTCTCTCGTTGGCTTCCGGTGGGAGCAAAGGGAAAGGAAAACTGCTTTTTCCCCCCCCCCAACAACAACAAATTCTATGCAAACCCAGTTTTCTTCTTTACATCACAAACTATGATAAAAGTAACAGAAGAACCTTCACATTTCTGAACAGAGAAATAGGAAATTATATCCCCTGCAAGAAAAAGAATACAGGTATTCCTCGAGTTACAATCGTTAGTGACTGTTTGAACATACGAGGGCACTGCAAAAAGAAAGAAAAAAAAAAAGACGGCTATTTCTCACCCTTACAGGGCCATCGCAGTATCCCCTGGTCACGTGATTTAAATTCGGACGCTTGGCAGCTGACTCGCATTTATGACGGTTGCAGTAACCCAGGAGGGAGGGGTCACGCGATCCCCTTTTGCAACCTTCTAACAAGCAACGTCGATTGGGGGAGCCAGGTTCACTTAACAACGGTGGCAAGGAAGGTGGCAAAGCAGGGAGGGTCAAACTCACTTTTAGCGATGGAAATTTTGGAGTGAATTATGGCTGCTAAGGCCTGAGGAGGAGCTGCATTTCAGGCTGTCAGATGCTGCTGTCTTCTTGGGGGAGGGGGAGGGAGGGGGCCAAGAGAAAGGGCGAAATTGGGCCTGCCAGGCTCCAAGCTTACCTCCTTCACCTTCAGGGGTCTCCCACTGAGGCTGTGCTTGTTCAGCACTTCCACGGCTCTTTTCATGCTCTCTTCCATCTTGAACTCAACCACCCTGCAGGCAAAAAGACAGGAGGCCAGGAGGGGTGAGTCTCCCCAGCCTAACCGGCCCGGTTCCAGCCCCAGTTTGGGGGGGGGAGGGGAGAGGGGGTACTTCTACTTACGCGCAGCCCTGACGAGGCCGAAGTGGAGAATCAGGCGGGTAAATGCGAACCAAAAACAAAAAAAAACCAAACAGGGTTGGGGAGGCAAAGGGAACAGAAAAACAAAAGTCAGTCGAGAGTTCAGTGCAGAACGTTTATTGCAGATATTTTCTCTTCCACTGGATCTTAAGATATTCAGAGCATTCCAAGGGTGCTGCTTTTGGGATCATGTCTGCGGGGTCCAGGCTGCCGTTTGAGCAACAGTATAACTGCTGTTCGCCTGAGCGCCGGACGCTAAGCCTACATGGCCAGGTGTGGGGGGGATGCAGAAACCATGATCGGCAGGACAGATGCCAGTTTCTCTCGGAACCTCTTGACTCTGCGAAGTCCGACGTGCCCCTAGGCCAGCCAACACCTTCACCCCACCCCACCCCACCCCTTTCTCTCTCTCCTCCACCAGCGGCCTTCGGGGAAGGTGCGTCAAGAGCCTCCCTCTGCGCTGACAAGGCCCCACCAACAGCTACGTTCGTTCTGAACATTTAAGACACGGACGGCCAGAGAGAGTTCTGACATTCATTACAACTTCGCTTCCACACCGAGCTTACGAAAGGCCGGCCACAAGAACCACACGAGACATTTAAGCTAAAGGTGGGACATTGATAATGCCAGTAAGGATCCATGCTCAAGTCAGACAGCCCAAACACCAAGGAGCACGGCGGCAACAGCAGCGACAGCAAGGGTGCTGCTGGGTCTAAGCAGACCCCCTCCCTTTCCCTCTCCCTCCCTCCCACCCAAGCCCAAAGCAGCTCTGGGCCCCTGCCAACGAGAGAACCACTCTACCACAGACACGCTGCCTCTGGCCCAACCTCGTTGGGGGTGGGTTCCACGCCGCCATCACACACATTTTGTCATGTAGTTAAAAATCCACAGAAGAAAAGCTCTCGGAGACTTACCCTTGACTTTCCTTCAGCGTCCATTAAGAGCTCCACGTATGTTACCTCACCAACTACAAATGAGATTCCAGACGGTACATAGACCAGGGGAAAAAGCCAAGAAAACAAGGGGGATTTAGAACAATCGTCAGCAACCATCTGTGGAGCCTCTGCCTTATTAGAAAAAAGCCCGGGAACACTCCTCCGTTGGCTAAGCAGCCACAACTCGGCATTACGGGTGAGCAGCACATGGGTGGCACCGGAGCCCTTGACGTTTCCCTCCTCCAGCCGTTGCCGCCTCGAGGTTGGAACACAGCGGGAAGAACCCGCAGGGAGAAACGTCCTTTTTTTCCTACTAGTTAATACTGCCAGCCTGATTTAACAGTTGGACTGTCACTCCTGCATCAAGGAAGAAGCCTTGCGTGCAACTGGATTCCCTAATGACACTGTTGCTCCATCATGAAAACATTTAAAACTTGTTTTGTGCCTGATTTTCCTTTCTAATCGACAGGACATCAAAATTCCACGAGTCTTCGCCCTTACAACACTTCATTTAGTGGCCGTTCAAAGTTACAAGGGCACTGAAAAAAGGCTGTCTTTCAGGCTTACAGCAGCATCCCCGTGGTCACGTGATCAAAATCCGGGTGCTTGGCAACTGACTTCAGATTTATGACTGTGTAAACCACTTAGACAGGCCTGTGAAGCACTTTGAAGCGATATCTAAGTGCTATTGCTATGACAGTTGCAGTGTCCCAGGGTCTTTGCCACTTTCCGTCAAGCAAAGTCAAGGGGGAAGCCAGATTCACAGAGCTGAAGAAGCTTCTTGGATGAGAAGCAAAACTTCTCCAAAGAAAAAACAAGGAAGTCCAATTGCCTCTTGAAAAAAGCACTTGTTACTAACTTAACAAGTGCGGGGATTCACTTAACAATTTTGGCAAGATAGATTGTAAAATGGGGCCAAACTTAATTAAGTGTCTCGCTTAGCAACAGGAATGTTGGCCAGAAGTTGAGGACCACCTGTATTTGCAAACACATTTACAGGTAGCTCTTGTGTAATGATGGTAACTGGCACCCACAACTGTGCTCCGAAAGCAACGTGTTGTAACCGTTGCAGAAGTTCCATCGCTTAAGCCAGTCTTCATCCAGCCATTTGGTGTGACATCATGGGGTCGCCATTTGTGACCACCTGCCGGCTTTTCCCCGTTGACCTTGCTTTTCTGAGAAGCCAGCAGGGAAAGCTGCAAGTTGCAATCCGGTGACCATGGGATGCTGCAACTGCAAACACCCAAATCGCAATCCCCCTAACCACGGGGATTTTGCAATGGCTAGGCCCAGTGGTTAAGCCTTGCCGTTCCCCAGCTTCCTACCTTTTGAGCAGGAGGGGAAGGGGAAAACAGAGAATTGCAGTGTTATGCCGCCACATCAGAGACGGTGGGGCCAAGGAATGAATTTATATCTGGAATTCTGCTCCAGCTATTGCTTCCAAGGACTTTCTTTCCCATCTTGGCAAATATTTCTCTTTTGCCTTTAGACACAATGACTACAAACTACAAATGACTTTAAAGTAGGAAAAGTGAGAAGATATCAAAAATACACTATCTAGAAGTTTTTTTTTGGGGGGGGGGCTTGACTAGACAGCTCTGCGACACTGGCTACCACTCCGATTGGGAGCTGCCCGCAGTCGGTTAGAAGATGGGTGCCTAAACGCAATCAATAAATAAACACAAGACTCTTATGCCTGGAGCATAATGAAAACTTAAAAGCAGCGAACTGTGCCCTGACCTAAGAAATGCTGAATTTTCAATTTTTGAAAGAAGTAATCTGAACAGTGTGGGTTCTTCAAACAGATATTCTAGTCTGCCATCCGGTAAAATGTTTTTTGTTGTGGTTTTTTTGCACGAACGACCAGCACCCACTGTGTCCAAACATTTCAGCAATGAATATCATCTTAATTTGATGGGCTGGGAAAACATCAAGGAACTCCGGTGTAAAGTTTGAAAGGGGATAAACAAAAAGGAAAAAGAAAGAAAGAAAACGAAGATGCTGCACACCTGTAACTTGGAAGTTTCACCAACCAATGATCAGACTAGAATGACTTTCACCGAGGGGAGAGGCCACGATTAAAAAATTTCAAGGCAGGCATCCACACACACCTGTGCGAGATCTAAACAGACCACAACACTGAACTCTCCTCAACCATATACTTACAGGCACCTCTCTGCAGTAGGATTATTACTGCGGGCTTTTAAAGCTTCCCACAATTCTTGAAGGGTGGAAGAGCAGTTGGTAACCCTTCAGCATTGATCTGCTGTGCCATACCTGAAATCCGAGGCCCTGGGTTGCTTGGAGACAACACCCAGAATTTCTAGCCATGTTTAGAACAGCAATGTGGGATTCTTGGAACTACGGGAAGTGCCGTCAAAGGACGTTAAGATTTCAGATTGTTTCCAAAGAAGGCTGGAAGAAAGCAGCTCCGTAGAGGTGCCGGTTACGCCAACCTGAGCTGTAGTCACAAACTCCGAGAACGTCAGAACCGCTAAGCTCTCGGCAGAGAGAAGGAAACCGTGTCTCCCATTTTCCTCCCGGGGACTATCCGCAGGGGAAAACCTCTGGAGTAGGAGAACAGAGGAAACAACCCTCCCGTTGGAAAGGTGGCATCCAGTGGGATGGGGTTGTGGAACTGGAGGGGGAAAAAAAAAAGACCAGAAAACACCTGGCCAAGTTTGACATCATACTGGAAGTGGTGACACCTCTATGCGCGAAGAAGGCCCCCTCCTTTTCACCAAGATTTCTCACACAGCGTTAGGTCGAGAACTGGCATGCCCCAAAGCAACCTTCCATTCATCGTTTCATGTGAATCAAGCCATAGCTAGGAGAACTGGAAGTCCAATTTCTGAGGAGTGATGATGCTGCGCTTGTGGTGCTATCAACTTTCCCCCCTCCAGGGGGGGAGGGCTTATACACTTAATTATGAATGGCCCGCAACACCTCTAGGAGGGGCCTGTGCGTTCCATTTGCTTGCCTTCGGCTCACAATTCCTGTCAGCCATCTTTTCTCCACTTTAAGCCACAGGTACACCTTGGCCCCTAAGCACAATAATCCAAAGGCCTTGTTGTCCAGTTTTAAGTGTTTTAAGAGAGGCTCGCCAAGATTGCAACTGGCCTTCCTTCCCCACAAAATGAATCGGGTCAGCAGAGGCTCAGGTCGTGCCAATTTTGATTTAGAATCCCCTCCCCCGATTACCTTGAGGTAAATTACCTGTTTAAAACATTACGGGCTGACCAAACCTCATCCATTTTTCTAATGCCTGCCTGCCTGCCTTGGATTTCTGAAGCAGGCTCAGCAGGGGGGGCTTTGACCGAACAAAACTAAGGAACTGCAGGCGTTGTTCCCTTTGCCAATTCACGAGGCCTGGCTGCATTGAACCCATCTTATCTTGAGCTCACTCTTAAAACAAGCTTAGATATTCAACCACCAAGCAAGATTTCGTCAACGAGGAAGACTGCTGCTCTCCCCCTCCATGGAAACTGGATCGTCGATCCAGAAAGGCTTTCAGAGGGCTTCTTGGTTTTTTTTTAAAAAAAGCAAAACCCCTCAATCCAAGCCTCTTGACGATGAGCCTCCGCTCTCCTCCCAAGAGCCTAAAGGCGCTTTCGTGCCAAACACCTGCACACCAAAGATGGATCCTGCCAGGGCACAGCCGCTAGCCAGCATGCAACGCCAGAAGCGCCTGCCCTCAGAAAACCTTCGGTGCTCAACATGGCTACGGCTACCCAAACCACTTCCGACCCATTCCGCGTCTGCTGGATAAAAGAGAAAAAGAGGTCACGAGAAAGAAGGGCAGAGGTCCGGCAATCGTGCCCGAGCCGTATACCTTTCTCTTTGACCAGGTCTTTCAGGTACTGCCACTTGACGTCAAAGGGGATGTTGGTGATGAAGGCTCGGTATCTTTTCGAAGAAGGGCTGGGGTACGGCTCAAAGCGACTCCCTCCTCCCCGTTTGGCATTTCTTTCTTTCCTTTTCTCCGCCTGGCTGGGCCAATCGCTTTCACTGCAACAAGGAAAGGAAGAGGACCGAATCAGACCCCTCCCCAAAACCACGTCCAACGTGAACTCTGGAAGCCTAGCTAGGAACAGCCGCACTAGGAACTAGCACTAAGCCTAGGCTTCTAATAACAAGACATGATAGCTTGGTTCATTGTACTCAAAACCACAGCAATTGGGTGCAGTGTATAAACCGACAAATCACAATACAGTGCAGTCATTAACTCAGTAGAGTTCCATTTTACAGCTCAGGTACAAGATTTTGTCCAATTTAAGAAACAACTGTATTCCAATATTCACATGCACAATTCAATCGAATTTCCAACTTTATTTATTGCAGGCTCCTTGGTGCTCTCCGAGGTTGGGGTTTTTTTTTGCAAATGTCTATGGATTTTCTCGGTTATTCAGGGTGTCCCAAAGATGCTTTTCTTTTTTTTTTTCAAGAGGCATCTGGACTTTCTGGTTTTTTTCTTTGAAGAGGTTTCGCTTCCCATCCAAGAAGCTTCTTCAGTTTTCTTGCAGTTGTTTCATTGCCAAACTAGCTAACATCATAAGTGCTTGTCTAGCTTAGCATCGTAGCCCTGAAGATGTTACTTAGTTGGGTAATGAAACGTCTCCAAGAAAATCACCAACCTTAGAGAGCGCAGAGGATCTTATGGTTCGTCCCCACATTCCAAATATCCACTTCTATTTGTTATTAGTTTATTAAACTTATATGCCACCCGTCTTACTGTCAAGTGACTCTGGACAGCTTACAATATAATATAAAAGCACAATATAAAACAGTAACACTGAAACTCTGCCACATTAAGAATTAAAACAATAAAATCCACCCAGATTAAAAAGGGGAACAATGTGTAAATTTATGATCTTCTTCTTCCAATAATAGCAGTTATTTTTATTTTTTTGGCTGGATTGACGGACGTGTGTTCACCCCAAGCGTGCTTAAACTCGGTTACTGTTGAGTGAGAGACCTTGGCTTGAATTTGGATTCCCAGCTTCCACTCCGCTTTCTGTGAAGGAATACAGGCAGTCCTCGACTTACGGCCACAATCGAGCCCAGAATTTGCGTTGTTAAGCGAGAGGCATTTGCTCAGCGAGTCGGGGGCCCCGTTTCACCGATTTTCGCCTGCCGCCATTAAGCGAATCCGGCTTCCTCCGTTGACTTGGCTTGTCAAAAGGTCGCAAAAAAGGGGGGAAATCACGTGACACACACCCCACAAGCCACGGCGACCGTCATTAAGTACATGCCAGTGGCCAAGCCTCCGGGTTTTGGATCACGTGACCGGCGCTGTATCCGTCGTAAGAGTGAAACGAGGCTTTTAATTTTATTTTATTTTAGGCAGCGCCGCTCTGGCTTCGGTTTCATGACATGAGCCGTCGTAAGTCGAGGACTACCTGACTGGTCCGCCTGAGGGAAGCAGCGGCCCCCCCCCCCCCCCCCCCCGAAAAATCCTGTCACCGGGATGAATCGGCCTTTCCTTTTCTTTCCCCACCTCTCCCCTCGGGCAAGAAGCCACCCATCCCGCCGGGACTACATGCCCCCTCATCCTCCACCGCTAGACTAGGGAGAGAGAAGCGGCCGACCGAGATCGGCGCCTCAGGCGCAGTCCCGCGCCCTCCCGTCGCGCATGCGCACTGAGACCACGACTGAGGCCTGCCTGCCTGTCGTCTGCTCCACCACCACCACCCCCGCACCTCTTGGAGCCTCCGTCGGCGATGCCGTTGCCCGCCCCGTTCGCCGGCCCTCCTGAGCCCAAGCCGCCTCCGGGAACGGCTCCGCTCTCCGCCATTTTGGGGCCGCCTTCCAAACCCGCCGCCGAGACTGAGCCTGAGACGACCGCCGCCATTTCCTTCTCCAGCGAGCTCGCGGCAGCTAACTGCGCCTGCGTCGGCGACGCCCAGCCCTCCCGCTTTTGATCGCCTCACAGGCGGACCAATGAGAGAGGGAGTTAGGGGAAGACGAAAAGAAAAAAAAAAAAAACCGGAGCCACGCCTTCGAGCCCCGCCCTTTCTTCCCACCCCATGACGTCAGCGTTGCCGTAGCAAGAAACAGCACGCCACCGGAAGTTGCCGCCTCTGGTGTCGCCTGAGCGACAGCAAGCAACCCTGACGACCGTCGCTCTAGTCTAGGCGGGGAAAGGGGTGGACTTCAACTCCCAGAATTCCCCAGCCAACATGGTCTCACCTCATAAAAAAAAAGAGATTGAGACTCAGGAAAGAGTGCAGAGAAGAGGATGAGGGGACTGGAGGCTAAAACATATGAAGAACAGGGATGACATGATAGCAAGATTCCAGTATTTGAGGGGCTGCCCCCAAAGTAGAGGGGGTCCACCTATTCTCCAAAGCACCTGAAGGCAGGACGAGAAGCAACGGACGGAAAGAGAGGCAACCTGGAATTAAGGAGAAACTTCTTAACAGAACAATATGGGACCTTGGAGGTCTTCTAGTCCAACCCTTTGAAATGGGATAAGGACACCTTATCCCATTTCAGACAAATGGTTATCCAGTGTCTTCTTAAAAGCCTCCAGTGATGGAGTATCCACAACTTCTGGTGGCAAGCTGTTCCACTGGTTAATTTTTCTCCCTGTCAGGAAATTTCTCCTTCATTCCAGGTTGCTTCTCTCCTTGATCGGTTTCCATCCGTTGTTTCTTGTCCTGCCTTCAGGTGCTTCAGAGAATAGGTTGACCTCCCTCTTCTTTGGGGCAGCCCCTCAAATACTGGAATCCTGCTATCATGTCCTCCCTCGTCCTTCTTTTCTCTAGAGTAGCCAAACCCAAATCTTCCAACCGTTCTTCATATATTTTAGTCTCCAGGCCTTTAATCATCTTAGTTGCTCTTCTCTGCCCTTTTTCCAAAGTCTCAACATCTTTTTAATAATGTGGTGACCAAAACTGGATATCCCCACCCCCGCCCCCTCAAAGTGTAGTCTTACTTAGGCTTTATAAAGTGGTACTAAGGCTTCATGTGATTTTGATTCTATGGCTCTGTTTATACAACCGAGGATTGTATTAGCTTTTTTGGCTGCTGCTGCACAGTACTGGTTCATGTTTAAGGGATCATCCATTAGGACTCCAAGGGCCCTCTCAGAGTTACTGTTTTTGAGCCAGGTTTCGCTTAATCTGTACTTGGTACCTTTCGTTTTTCCTACCTTGCCTTTCATTCATTCATTCATTCATTCATTCATTCATTCATTCATTCATTCATTCATTCCACCTTCATTATTTTCAGTAACTCAAAGGGGCAAGCATATCCAACACACTTTCTGCCTATTTTCTCCCTAACAGCAGCCCTCAGAGGTGGGCTTGAGCTGGGAACAAGAGAGAGTGGGACTGGCCCAAGGACACGGAAATGGCTTTCATACGTAATCAGAACTCCCACCCTATCTCTTGACTTCTAGCCTGGTGCCTTCACTACAAAACCACATGCCACCTGAAATCCCATGGATGAAGCTTTGCATGGCCCAGTTTCTAGCATGCCATTGCCCGGTGCCAGTCCACGAACTGGGGGTTAGGGACCCCCGTCCTATGAAACCTCAATATTTTGTAGCAGGAATGCTCAGGAAGATAAATCTATCTCAGCATCTCCTGTCCTACTATCGCAGCACCATTGAGAGTGTCCTGACATACGGCATTCGTGCATGGTATGGGAGCAGCTCTGTAGCGGACAAAAAAGCTCTACAGAGAATCATTAAAACTGCCCAGAATATCATTGATATTCAGCTACCAGCCCTGGACGACGTTTTCGAATCTCGCTGTTTGAGGAAGTTGCATAACATTCTCAGAGACTCTTCCCATCCTGCTTACAATCTTTTTGGACTGTTGCCTTCTGGCAGAAGATACAGAACAATTCAAACTCGGACCGCACGTCTTCTGAATAGTTTTTATCCCAGAGCTATAATTCCACTCAACAAGGAACTAAAGGGCCACCATCAAGTGAGCTATTGGACAGCATTACTTGGTCTGCTGTCTGGGTGTTTGGATGGATTAGGGGTGGGGAATTTGTGGTGGGTGGGTGGGTGTTTGGGGATTGTTATGTATTGGACCTGATCTTTGGGTATTAAGTGAATTTCATTGTATGGGTATACTGTGTATACACGTACAATGACAATAAAATTATTTATTTATTTATTTATTTACATGCCTGTTTTTCCTGATCTTCAGACTCTTCCACTTCCATCTTTCCAAGAAGAGCAATTCCATTTCAGCTCTCTTTAATTTCCAATCACTCTGTTGGAAGACTATCTCCCAGACCTAGTCCTTGGCCCTACTGCCCCCATACTAACTGGGCTTACAAGGCTAAGAGATCCAGATTCAAATCCAAGCTAAATGGTACCACGAACAGTTGAGGGAGCTGGGTATGTCTAGCCTATGGAGAGAAGGATTGGGGAGAACACGGTAATTGTCTGCTGGCATTGGAGTGGCCATCACAGAGAAGAGATGGACTTATTCCCCAAAGCACCAGAGGGAAAAGACAAGAAGTCATGGGTGGAAGCTTGTTAAAAACGGCTCAAGGTTGACTCGGCCTTCCATCCTTCTGAGGTCGGTAAAACGAGGACCCAGATTGTTGGGGCCAATAGGCTGACTTTCTAAACCACGTAGAGAGGGCTGTAAAGCATTGGAAAGTGGTATTTAAGTCTAAGAACTAAAGGAAGGAAGGAAGGAAGGAAGGAAGGAAGGAAGGAAGGAAGGAAGGAAGGAAGGAAGGGGCAATAGGCTGACTCTGTAAACTGCTTAGAGAGCACTGTGAAGCAGTATATAAGTCTAAGTGCTAGTGCTATAATTGCCCTCCTTCTCTCCTTCCTTCACACCCTTTTCTTTCTTTTCTTTTCTTCCCTCTCCTTCCTTTTCTCCATTTTTTCCTTTCTCTCCTGCTCCCTCTCATTTCCCTTCTTTTTCTCTCCTTCTTCTTTCCTCTCCTTCCTTCCTCCCTTTTTCTTTCTTACTTTCTGTTCCTTCCTTCCTTTCTCTTGTAGGAGCCCTGGTGGCGCCGTAGTTAGAATGAAGCATTGCAGGCTAACTCTGGCAACTGCCAGCAGTTTGATCCTGACCGGCTCACGGTTGACTCAGCCTTCCATCCTTCCGAGGTGGGTAAAATGAGGACCCAAAGATTGTTGGGGGCAAGAGGCTGACCCTGTAAACCGCTTAGAGGGGGCTGTAAAAGCACTGTGAAGCGGTACGTAAGTGCTATTACTAAAGGGAGATCCAATCTAGGGGATAGATTTCTGACAGTGAGAACAATTAACCAATGGATTATTATTTTGGAGCGGTGGCTACACCATCACTGGAGGTTTTCAAAAATAGACTGGACAACCTACGATCTGGAACGAGCTCCCTCCGGAGATACGGAGGATCCCGGATCTGCGCACCTTCCGTCGCGCGCTTAAAACGTTTTTATTTCATCAAGCTGGCCTGGCCTAAATCTTCTCCTCTTTTAAATTTAAATTTTAAATACAAATTTTAATTTGTTATGGGGTATTTTAAAATTCAGCCAAATTATTTAATTCTTTTTAATCTATTTTAAATTTTGTATCTCTGTGTTTTATCTTCTGGCTGTTCACCGCCCTGAATCCTTCGGGAGAAGGGCGGTATAGAAATTTAATAAAATAAAATAAATATAAAATTTGACTGAGATGGTACAAGGACTTGAGAAGAGGAAAAGGACCTCCGAGGCCCTTTTCCAGCCCTCGGATTCTATGTTCTGCGTGTTGGGGGCCCAGTCTTGTGGGGCAGCCTCCGAACCAAAACTGCCTCTTTTCCATGAAGCTCAACAACAAGGCTGGATCCAACCCAAAGTTGGATGGAAATTCCGATCCACGAAAATCCCAGCAGAAACGAACCCCGTCTTTTAAGCCCGGCCGCCTAAGTGGTTCAGCTACGGGTTCGGTGTACCGGGCTAGCCCGATCGAGTGAAAAGCCAATGACAACAGCAACTCCGGTTGACAGGTCAGCACATCGTACGTTCACGCAATATTAAGACCCTCTGTGGCTCTTATTTCTGTAAGCCGGATGGTTACGGCATTTATTTTAAAAAATAATAATAATAATAAGATACCCTCCAGTTCGCCGGCAGTTCGTTTTCTGTTGGGGTTGTTATTTTTTGTTTTTTTTTAAACTCCTCCTGGGATGTTTAGATTCGAATCCGTCCTCTAGGGAGGGAGGGAAAGCAATGTCACTGGGAAACTAAGGAGGGGAAAAGACAACGCTGCCCCCACCCCCATCTATATAGTGCAAAAATATGAAAGGAGCTGAGAGAGAGAGAGTCAGCGCAGGAGGAGGAGAGGTGACAGGGGACCCCGCCTCGCTCTTGGTCCAAAGAGCCTCAATTCCCACTCGGAGTAGGACGAGCAGCTTTGCTTTTTACACGCCCGTCTGTGCCTCTGAACAAGGGCTGGACCCTCGGGATGGGGGAGGGACGGGACCCCTGCCCCTCCGGGGAAGGAAACCCCGCACCTTTTCACAGTGATGTCCAGGAAAAGGGCCCTGAACACAACAGCCGAAACCGAGAACAGTCATAAAATTATAATTACAACAATAATTAAGGTACTATAATATAAGATAGTTACACGGATCGAGGGAGAGGTCGTCTCCTCTCCCCACACTGGTCCTTGAGGACGGAGCGGGGCCGACGGGCGCCCATGGCACGCCGCGTCCCCTGCCCCATTGCACACACCCGGGAATTGGTTGTCTTTCGGGGAGGGGGGAAGGGGCGGCTTGACCGATGAACGGACGGACGGCAAGCTCCCTTCCAGTTGGGCTGGCGAAACATTCTGACAAGTGCTCCTTCTCTTCCTCTTCCTCCCTTCCGCTGCTTGGGGGGGGGGAGAAGGGGGAACCAGCGCCAGCCTGGCTCATACGGTGGTCTC